CTGCAGGAGGAGACGTTTTGGTGCAATCAGTGGTTTTCCTGCAGGTTTGGGAAGCGCCCGTTGCTGCTGGTGTCTGCGTGCGTGCACACCTTCTGCGGCATTGTGCCTGCTTTTCTCCCCCAGCCAATCATCTTCCTCGCTGTCCGCTGTCTGACGGCAGTTTCCTGCAGCTGCATCACCATCTGCGCCTTCAGTCTGGGTAACGCAACCAGCAACACATGAGACTAACATATCCACAAATTAACAAACATTCTTTTTAGTTGTTGTTAACAAATCCACGCCATCTGCTGTGTCTGAAATTATACAATTTACAAGTTGAGGGATTAAATGAGCCCGCGACACGAAAAGGAAGAAACAGGTAAAGATAAAGGATGGATGGATTAAATGAGACTGAGTAGAGCTCTTCACATTGAGAGGAACCAGTTGAGGTACATCTGGTAAGGATGCTCCCTGGATGCCTCCCAGGGAGGTTTTAAAGGGCATGTCCAACTGGGAGGAGACCCAGGACACGCTGGAGAGACTATTGGCTGACATGCCTTACAGTCCTCCCTGAAGAGCTGGACGAGGTGGCTGTGGAAAGAGATGTCTGCCTGTCCACGGTGTCCCCCGCCTCTCGCAAAGTAATGGCTGGACATGGGCACCAGCGATCCCCACGACCTAAAAAGGTTGTGGGGGTCGCTGATGCCCATGGCGCCCACAAACGTTCCTCAGTCTAGTGGTTCTAAACTTAATGCTCCTCAACCTCCTGCCTGAAGAGAGCGGGACAAAAAGTGTGTGTGCTGGGTGAGTGGGGTCCTTCATGATGCAGGTGGCTCTCTTCTCGCATCTGGAGGTGTAAATGTCTGTGATGGTGGGGAGGCTGATTCCAACAGACTTCTGTGCAGCCTTCACCACTCTCTGCAAAGCTTTTCTTACTGCTCTAACCACTCAGCCACATCCGCCCCAACAACATGATTCTTGAACAGTTCTTCACCCAAATCTTGGTATAGATAGATTGACATTGTCTCCTAACTCAACTTCTGCGGTGCTCTTTTGCAAGTTTACAAGAGTGGCTAACTTTAGCTTTAAAATATGCATTTAAAAAATGTGTTTGTGGGGCAGCACAGCCTCCTGACCTCTGAACTTGCTGAGTTGGTCTCATTGCTGTGTGTTTTCAGCCGTGGAGTGGACTCTCCCTGCTGCTCGGCTCTGGCCGCCAGCCTTCCTGTCCTTCTGCTTCAGCCTGGGGACGATGGGCGGGGCTCTGGTGGCCTGGCTCAGCCCTACCTGGACACACCTGCACCTGATGGTGGCCTTGCCACAGTTACTGTGTCTGCCACTCTACCTGTACGCCAACACACCTCCAGTCATGTCTTTGTTCTGATGCTTTAAAAGCTTATGATCTCTTTGTTTTCCAACAAAGTTTAGTCAGGTCATCTGGACAGTTTCTTTTGTTGAGACATTTCATCCTCCATCTAAAGGACCTCATTAATCTGAGGAGCCACAAACAAACTGTATCCCACAAGCAGCACACGCATAGTGGACCAACCAGTTTGCTGGTGATAAAATGGTTTCCGTTTATTGTTGAGATGTTTTGTCCTTCGTCCAAAGGACTTCATCAGTCTGAGGAGCCACAAACAAACTGTGTCCCACAAGCAGCACACTCACATAGTGGACCAACCAGTTTGCTGGTGATAAGATGGTTTCTGTTTTTTGTTGAGACAGTTTGTCCTTCATCCAAAGGACTTCGTCAATCCAAGGAGCCACAAACAAACTGTGTCCCACAAGCAGCACATTCACATAGTGGACCAGCCAGTTTGCTTGAGATAAGATGGTTTCTGTTTCTTGTTGAGACGTTTTGTCCTTCATCCAAAGGACTTCATCAGTCTGAGGAGCCACAAACAAACTGTGTCCCACAAGCAGCACACTCATAGTGGACCAACCAGTTTGCTGGTGATAAGATAGTTTGTTTTTTGTTGACACGTTTTGTCCTTCATCCAAAGGACTTCATTCATCAACCTGAGGAGCCACAAACAAACTGTGTCCCACAAGCAGCACACTCACATAGTGGATCAACCAGTTTGTTGGTGATAAGATTGGTTCTGGTTGCTAGTGGGACATGGTTTGTGGCTCCTCTCATTGAAGTACTTTGAATGAAGAACAAAATGTCTCAACAAATAAAGAAACCTTCCAGATGATCTGACTAAACATTGTTGGATTTTTTTACTTGGATTATTGAGCATGAACTTTGATCTTTTTGTTTTGTTCTGTGAAAGTTCAATCCCAGAGTCTCCTCGTTGGTTGCTGTTACAGAAGAAGATGGATATTTTGGAGCGCTACTGGAGCAACAGCCCTGCAGATGAGCAGCATCTGAACCAGGTAAGAACTCTTCTCACCACCAGTTTGTCACAAAAACAGTAAATAACTGAAGTGAGTGTTTGTGTGCAGCTGCTGGACTCAGCCCAGTCCGACCTGAAGAAAGCTGCAGAGACTCGGACAGAAACACCTGACAGTGGTGGCCACGCCCACAGCAACATCATCCACCTGAGACACCCGACCATCCTGCTGCGCCTGCTCATCATGAGCTTCCTGAGGTACTTCTGCACATGCTCTGTGTGGTACTTCCTGTTCTAACAGAATAAGCAAGAAGTGCTACAGGTCTACAACAAACTCAATGTATCCTGGAAAGTAAAAAAAAAAAACACTCAAATTCATTCAACCTTTATTTATACAGGTTAGTCTCATTGAGCCTCGAGGACTCAGTTACAAGAGAGACCTGTTTTTGGCGTATTCTTAGTTTAGCAAATTTCTTAGTTCATATCTTAGATGTTACTCTTTTTCTTTACAATTTGTATTTTTGTTGGATGTAACTGGGACCCTGTGTACACAGTTTTGTTCCACCTCATGTACCACATGTGATGTGAATGACAATAAAGACACCTTGACCTTTTTAACAAAGAACACCAATGAGGTTCAGACAACAGTAAACAATCATTTAAAAAGCATATAAAATTAAAAGTAAATAGAAGAAATGATATAAAAACAAACAAAAAAAAAACCCAGCTACATTATAAAGCGATGTAAAATACTAAAAACAGGAACATGTCTGCATTGGTTTTTCCCAGGAACTTAGCAGATGTTTGAAGCCATTTAGAGAGGTCAAGGTCGAGAGCTTCAGATCTTTTTTGCAACATATTCCAGGAAACGGGAGCGGAGTAGGAAGGCCCTTTTGCCTAGTTTAGTTCTCACTGAGGGAACACTGTAGGTAATGATGTCCTCAACAAAGCGCTAGGGTCCAGGAGAACCCTCATCTGCTCGGACGAGGCGTGCAGCTGGATATTTCTCTGTGGGGGATGTGTCTACCTCTGCTATCGACAAAGAATGCTGAAATTGCATATAATTGAATTTATGATAACAGGTTTCCTGTTTATGGAATAGTCTGGATCCTGGTTTATCAACATACAAAGAAGATGGTCGCAGCTAATTTGGACCTCCACAAGCTGCTTTCTATGTGAAGGTCGGTTCGTGCAGGAGGACTCAAAATCAGCTGATTTACGAGCGAAACCGTAAGTTGGAAGTGATTTGAATCGCATGCCACCTGTGGCTTTGGGACTCGACAGCATAAAAACACTATCTTGAAGAGATTTGTAAGCACGGACCAGTGGAATGCACCCTAATCTGGACATTGCAGACCTTGGAAAGTTATCAGTACAGACTATGTTGACAGAAAAATAGTCTGCCTGAATAAATCAACAATTGTGGTTATCTGAATCTCTCCCCAGCTGGCCTTGGAACAGGCCTACTTATCAATTTTGTCTGGGAAATGTGTAAACTAAGGAAAAGTTTCATCTACCGCAACCCCCCTTCCATGGAATCTTATTAGAACTGTGCCGGCTGACCATTATCTTATCAGGACAATGGACTGTCTAGTGCTTCATGGACCGCCTCGTTTGTAAATGCATATTAATTCAACCTTTATTTAGACAGGTAAATCCCAATGAGCCTCGAGGACTCATTTACAAGAGAGACCTGATTTACAAGAGAGACCCGATGATGGTATGTAACGTGTTCATAAATGTGCTTTAGCTGGCAGAGTTTTTTTGATGTCTTAAATCTTGCCCTGTAAGGACAAGATGTGAAGAGATCTTTTTTGTAATGCCACTACCCTCTCCTCATGGCTTTGTCTCCTTTTCTATCTAAAAATATGTATTCTGAATAAGAATAAGAAGGCCGTGCTTTATAGCAGCAGTTTTGTGCACTCCGTCCATCTTTCGGACGACTGTACGTACATGTTCTCGTTGTATCTCGGTGCAATGACAATAAAGCTTATTCTGATTCTGAGAGCACACGCTGTAGCTGCACTCACGCAGTGACATGTAGGATGAGATGTATGAAGACAACAGGCCAAGAAGTGATTTAAAGATGAAAATGTACCAGTGAAAGAGTCTACTTGTAGTTAATGATGACCAGTTAACCAGTGAATACAGGGTGCAGTGATGGGTAGCTACAGCCAGTTATGAATCTTAGCGCACCGTGATAGACAGCATCCAACAACTGCAGGGTGCCTGTCAAATGCAGACTGTAAAAGCTGGAAAATCTTAGCAACTGTTCTAGCTCGATAATCAACTGTCGTCAGCATAGGATGCATCAGGAATGATCTGACCTACATTACTTATGTAGATTGTGAAGAGGGTGTGTCCTAAGACTGAACCTTGTGGTACACCATTTTTGATAGTTACCGTAAATAGCTGGAAGCTGCACCATTATGTTGAACACATCGTTTCCAATCAGAGATAGAGAACAAAGCGATAATGTGATCGGAGAAACCAATTTCTGAGAGGTTATGACACAAGATGCCATGATCCACGGTGTCAAAAGCTTTAGACAGGTCTAAGTAAAGTGCAGTACAATAATCCTTATCATCCAGTGCTTCAACAACGTCATTAAAAACCTTCAACGAAGCAGTTATTGTGCTGTGTCGTTTCCTGAAACCAGATTGATGGAGAGGTAAGATGTTAAAAGAAAAAATACGGTTCTCCAAACAAAAGTTTCTGAATTAACAGATACATTTTACAGATTTGTTCAGACTTTGTTGTCTGACAGCAAACTCCAAGAGGTTCGAGGCTCAAATTTAAGATTATGAAACAACCATAGGTTTATTTCATCAGTGACCTTTGACCTCTCTCTGTAAAAACATGTGACATGTTTGCCAGACAAATTAAAATAGTCTGCCTTGAACCATTTTAGTTTTATAGAATTACATACTCTTTTAATGTGACCCTTAAAGAGGACGAACATTGAATCTGACATGGGTCACGTGATGCAAGCCCCCCCAAGCGCCTTGTGATAACATCAGCTACTTTAAGTTTCAACAATCTCAGTCTAAAACAATAACTGAACAAAAACCACGTCATGTTCTAGTTAAAGTTTTATCCTTTTTTATCAGCTGTAAAAACAAACAGCTAGTTACAACAGCTAAGGTCCAAATGATTCAATCCATTACAAGATAAAACTGAAAAACAAAGTTACATCAATGAATATCGACAGACTGCTATTAGCTCAGTGATAACATATCCACAAAAAACCCCTAGCCAGCACATATTTTTTGTCTTACCTCAGCTTTGCATGTAAGCACTTTTATATCATGATTCAGCTTTTGATAGCTAGCACTAGTTCAGCCTTGATTACTTGTTTCCATTAAAAGTTAACCAACAAAAAGAGTTAAAAGGAGGTGCGTCAGCCGATTTAATGATTCTTGAAGCTTACAAATCAGAAAATCAAAGTTCTCAGTGTCCTTTTAAAAAGCCAGTCGCCAAAACCTAGGACTTCCTGAACCACCCGTCCATGCATGCAGTGCACATACTAAATTGTTTTCTAAAAACTACGCTAAAGTGTGAAACTCTTTAACAAAAAGAACTTGGAAGGAAAACTTGAGACGGAGCCACGGTGATCAACCGTACTACCTGTCTGCAGCTGGACCACTGCAACACAGTGAAGACAATCACGATTATTTGCAAGTACAGTGGTGCTCGAAAGTTTATGAACTTTTATATAATTTTCTATATTTTTGCGTAAATCTGACCTAAAACTTCATCAGATTTTCACACAAGTCCTAAAAGTAGATAAAGAGAACCCAGTTAAACAAACAACAATATTATACTTGGTCATTTATTTATTGAGGAAAATGATCCAATATTACATATTTGTGAGTGGTAAAAGTATGTGAACCTTTGCTTTCAGTATCTTGTGTGTGATCCCCCTGTGCAGCAATAACTGCAACTAACCGTTTCCAGTAACTGTTGATCAGTCCTGAACACCAGCTTGGACGAATTTTAGCTCGTTCCTCAGTACAGAACAGTTTCAACTCAGATGTTGATTTCTTCACATTAACTGCTCACTTCAGATCCTTCCACAACATCTGGATTGGATTAATTCAGGACTTTGACTTGGCCATTCCAAAACATGAACTTTATTCTTCTTGAACCATTCTTTGGTAGAACCACTTGTGTGCTTAAAGTCATTGTCGCTGCATGACCCACCTTCCCTTGAGGTTCAGTTCATGGACAGATGTTCTGACATTTTCCTTTACAATCCTCTGATATAATTCAGAATTCATTGTTCCATCAGTGATGTCCAGCCGTCCTGGACCAGATGCAGCAAAACAGGCCCAAACCATGATACTACCACCACCGTGTTTCACAGATGGGATAAGGTTCCTATGCAGGAATGCAGTTTTAATTTCTCCAAACTTCAAGCTTTTAAAGTTATATTTTGGTCTCATCCGTCCACAAAACATTCTTCGATCAGTCTTCTGGTTTGTCCACGTGATCTTTAGCAAACTGCAGATGAATGTTCTTTTTGGAGAGCAGTGGCTTCTCCTTCAACCCTGCCATGCACACCATTGTTGTTCAGTGTTCTCCTGATGGTGGACTAATGAACATTAACATCAGTCAATGTGAGAGACCTTCAGTTGTTAGAAGTTACCCTGGGCTCCTTTGTGACCTCGCTGACTGTTCCACACCTTGTTCTTGGAGTGAGCTTTGTTGGTCCACCACTCCTGGGGAGGGTAACAATGGTCTTGAATGTCCTCCATTTGTCCACAATCTGTCTGACTGTGGATTGGTGGAATCCAAAGTCTTTAGAGATGGTTTTGTAACATTTTCCAGCCTGATGAGCATCAACAACTCTTTTCCTAAGCTCCTCGTAAACCTCCTTGTTCCTGTCATGATCCACTTCCACAAATATGTTGTGAAGAGCAGACTTTGATAGATCCTGTTCTTTAAATCAAACAGGGTGTCCCACTCACACCTGATCATCATTCCATTGATTGAAAACACCTGATTCTAACTTCACCTTCAAATTAACTGCTGATCCTAGAGGTTCACATACTGTAACCACTTACACATATGTAATATTGGATCATTGTCCTCAATAAATAAATGACCCTATTTTTGTCTCGCTTTCCTGCTTGCTCTCGATGAAGGTGGATGCTTTTCCCTCCCACTCCTCCTTCCCTCCTGCTTTGCTCTTTGTCCTGTGAACCCTATTGGAGCCTCTCTTTACATATCTTCCAGATTGTAAATCATGGATTTGGTTAGCTGGTCTCTCAACGCAATTAAGAAAAGTTTCTCGACAAGAAGGAGGGGTGAAGGAGAGCCCTTTTGCCCTGACGAGACACTTGCAGCTGGATACACGATGGATTCCTGGGGGCAGTGGAAGATCATGCGTCTGTCCGTATTGTCAGTTGAGGATGTAGAAGCCGTGTACATAACTGGATTTATGATAACAGAATTTCTGCATTTTGGAGTTGGTAAATCGACAAATGAGGCAGCACGGTGGCGCAACTGGTAGAGCTGCTGCCTCTCAGCAAGCAGGTCCTTGGTTCAAACCCCGGTCCAGGGGCCTTTCTGGGTGGAGTTTGCATGTTCTCTCCGTGCAGGTGTGGGTTTTCTCCGGGTGCTCCGGTTTCCTCCCACAGACCAAAAACATGCATGTTAGGCTGATTGGTAACTCTAAATTGTCCCTAGGTGTGAATGAGAGTGGATGGTTGTTTGCCTCGTTTGTCTCTATGTGGCCCTGTGATGGACTTGCGACCCATCCAGGGTGTACCCCGCCCCTCGCACAGTGATTGCTGGACATGGGCACCAGCAACCCCCGTGACCCAAAATGGAATAAGCGGGTAAAGATAATGGATGGATGGATGAAATTGACAAATGTAAAAAAACGTTGGCAGCTGTTCTGGCCATTGTAAGGCTGCCCGGCTTGTGTTGTGCGGCGAGCACTCAGACTCGGATGCTGTGTGAGCTGAGCCGTAAGCTGGACGCGATTTCTGACAATCGTAGGCCACTTGCAGCTCCTGATACTCGCTGGCGAGAAGGAATCAACCTTAGAGAAGCTACAAGCTCAGCCTGGCAGTGCTGAAAAAATAAAAGAAAATTTGGCTGTTTGAAGTCGCTACTGAGACATACCAGTAGAACTACAAGCCAGAGAGAAATCAAGCAGAGTCGGCCTGACCCAAAATAACTTATCTGAATCTGGCTCCCCCGTGTCGGCCTTGAATTGGCCAACTATCCCAAATTCTCCTGGACGTTAAGTGAACAAAAAGCTCTTCAAGCATCACTGTACATCAAATCTAGTCAGAAAAATATCTGCGCAGAACTATGTAGCAGGTACAGGAAACCTGTGCTCAACCAGCATTCGGTAAATTTAACCCTTCGGCTGTTGGTTCATCAGAGTCATTCATTCAACCGTTATTTCGACAGGTTAACCCCATTCAGCCTCGAGGACTCATTTACAAGAGAGACCTGAAATAAATAGATAAAATAGCTTTAGAGGCCTGAAACACTGCAAGGCATGAATCAGTGAGTGATTTTAAATGAACAGCATCTATGTCATAGGACCAATGTTGACAAAAAGGAGGAGCCCAGAAAGAAAACTGCTCATCTGGCGATGCATGTTCCAACCCTGTGGTGTCCCACATTAAAGCTGTGCTTTTTCACCCTGCAGTATTGGAATTTCATCAACATACTATGGGATTTGTCTGAACATCGGATCGTTTGGAGTCGGAGTCTACACCGCCCAGTTCTTCTCGGGTCTCTCAGAGGTTCCCTGCCTGCTCGTTCCTTTGGTCCGGCTCGGACGTCGGCTGATCAGCATGCTGTCTCTGTTCCTGAGCGGGACCGCCTGCGGTTTAGCTTTCCTGTTGTCCCTATATAACTGTGCGCAGCAGACTCCTGGAATTATTTCTATTTCTGTTAGCTGTGAGCTGCCTTCATAGGATGTCTGTGCCTGCAGGTGAACCGATTCTGGTGATGAGTCTAGCTCTGCTGGGAAAACTCTGCATCCAGGCCGCCTACTTCATCTCTGTTCTGTACAGCATTGAACTGTTTCCCACGGTGGTCAGGTATAACACACATGTTTCTGCACATCAGCAGGTTCAGATTGACAATAACAGGTAATTCCAACACAGACAGCGCTGCGTATCACTGGTCAGCCTCGCCTATCGGGTTGGCTCTCTGGCTACAACCTTCCTTCCCTCCAGTCCAGACGGAGCACTCTCTTTGGCTGCCATGGTAGTGTACACCAGCGGACCCATCGTAGGCTGTGGTTTGTGCATGTTGCTACCAGAAACCAGTAGCGCCCCACTTCCAGACTCGTTCGAGGACTGCGACAGAAAGTCTGAGTCCCACCCCGCCAGCATTGATGACCTCTGGAGGTCACGGTGAGAGAACAGGGTTTTGTTGACCTGGTTTTTGTCCCAGGAACAGAATAATAGATGGAACTGGACAGAGTTGGGATTTTATTTTTGATTGTGTGTTATGTGTGCTTTTTCAGGTCATCAGCGAGCAGCCAGACCAGCAAAACGGAGACACTCCTTCCAGAGAAAGACGACGCACTAAAAGCCAATACACCGTTCCTGTAACGGCAGCCAAAGCTTTCAACCGAATCAAACCAATGTTTAAAACATTCTATGTTTATCCATACGGGAAACAGAAAATCTCTTTACATAGACCATTTTAAATTTTGATTAAAAAAAATGTTATTCACCTTTTTTCTATTCAATATATTTACAAACCGGATTCCAAAAAAGTTGGGACACTAAACAAATTGTGAATAAAAACTGAATGCAATGATGTGGAGGTGCCAACATCTAATATTTCATTCAGAATAGAACAAAAATCACAGATCAAAAGTTTAAACAGAGAATGTATCATTTTAAGGGAAAAATCTGTCATTTCCAAATTTCATGGCATCAACAAATCCCAAAAAAGTTGGGACAAGTCCATTTTTACCACTGTGTGGCATCCCCCCTTCTTACAACACTCAACAGACGTCTGGGGACAGAGGAGACCAGTTTCTCAAGTTTAGAAATAGGAATGTTCTCCCATTCATGTCTAATACAGGCCTCTAACTGTTCAATCGTCTTGGGCCTTCTTTGTCGCACCTTCCTCAATATGATGCGCCAAATTTTCTCTATAGGTGAAAGATCTGAACTGCAGGCTGGCCATTTCAGTACCCGGATCCTTCTCCTACTTAGCCATGATGTTGTGATTGCTGCAGAATGTGGTCTGGCATTATCGTGTTGAAAAATGCAGGGTCTTCTCTGAAAGAGATGACGTCTAGATGGGAGCATATGTTGTTCTAGAACCTGAACATAGTTCTCTGCATTAATGGTGCCTTTCCAGACATGCAAGCTGCCCATGCCACAAGCGCTCATGCAACCCCATACCATCAGTGATGCAGGCTTCTGAACGGAGCGTTGATAACAACTTGAGCTATCCTTGTCCTCTCTGGTCCGGATGACATGGCGTCCCAGTGTTCCATAAAGAACTTCAAATCGTGACTCCTCTGACCATAGAACAGTCTTCCATTTTGCCACACTCCATTTTAAATGACCCCTGGCCCAGTGCAAACGTCTGAACTTGTGGAGCTTGCTTAGAAATGGTTTCCTCTTCGCACTGTAGAGTTTCAGCTGGCAACGGCGGATGGCACGGTGGATTGTGTTCACTGACAATGCTTTCTGGAAGTATTCCTGAGCCCATTCTGTTATTTCCTTGACAGTGGCATTCCTGTTTGAGATGCAGTGCGTTTAAGGGCCCGGAGATCACGAGCATCCAGTAGAGTTTTACGGCCTTGACCCTTACGCACAGCGATTGTTCCAGATTCTCTGAATCTTTTGATATTATGCGCGGTTGATGATAACTTAAAAGTCTTTGCTATTTTATGCTGGGTAACACCATTCTGGTATTGCTGCACTAGCTTTCTGTGCAACAATGGTGGAATTGGTGATCCTCTTACCATCTTGGCTTCTGAAGACACTGACACTCTGAGAAGCTCTTTTTATACCCAATCATGTTGTCAATTGACCTAATTAGTGTTAATTGGTCTTCCAGCTGTTCGTTATATGCCCAATTTCCTTTTGCCAGCCACTTATTGCTACTTGTCCCAACTTTTTTGGGATTTCACACTGAAATTTTGAATCAACGTATTTTTCCTTTAAAATGTTACATTTACTCAGATTAAACTTTTGATCGGTCATCTATGTTATATTACGAATAACATATTGACATTTACCATCTCCACATCATTGCAATCAGTTTTTATTCACAATTTGTTTAGTGTTCTAACTTTTTTGGAATCCGGTTTGTATATACCATATTTTCCGGTGTATAATTCAGTTTTCTGCGTAGATTTGTCAGTCCTGCGACTTGTTTTTTCCCCTCTTCCTGATGCTTTTTTTTTTTTGACTGATGCGACTTATACATTGGAAAATACGGTAGTTCATAACGCAAGTCACTTCAGACTGTACAACAGTTACCGGTACATACGAAACAAAAACACCAGTTAGTAAAAGTTATTTAAGGAAGCCAGTAGATTGCACTGAAGCTTCACTTTGTTGCGGTCTCACACAACGAGCGGCAGTGGCGACAGTGGAAAGGAACGACTCCCTTTTAACAGGAAGAAACCTTCAGCAGAACCGGAATCAGGCTCAGATTGAGCGGTTTTCTGCCTCAGCTGGCTGGGGTTTGACAGGACTGGAAAGAGACACAGAAAGATTGGTTAACGTTCAACTGGAAGTTTACTTCATGTCCTTTGAAGAATAAAAAATAATCTACATTTGACAGTATAAGCCAGGGCTATTCAGCAAAACTGCTCAGGGGGCCACAGTTTTTGAAAGCCACCAGCACAGGGGCCGGACATCTAGCGGTTAAAATCATTATGTAAATAAACCACAGTTCACAATCATCTGTTATCTTTTCAATTTGTTTTTTGCATTGAAACAAATGCCATAAACAGAGCCCAGAACTCCAACACCCCATTTTATTTAATTTTTTTAATGAAGTGAGCTAGATTAAGTCCCCTGCGGGCCAGAAATGGCCCACGGACCAGTATTTGAATAGCCCTGATAAGCCTTTTTTATGGTACTTAACCAGTCATATGTACATGTTTATTAAAATAAAAACTGAAAGTCTTGAGCTCTTGTTCATTCAAGATCAGGATGTGCACCACAACTAAATCACCAAAATAAAAATGTATAGGGAATTAAAGACTAATCAGTCCAGAATCTTTGTGGGACAACCCACAAGTGTCTTTTCACTATTAAACTCTGCTCTTTTATCAAATAATTCTGACTAAATCCAATATTTTAATCACAACAGTGTCACATAATAAAAGTTTTTCTGCTGGATTCTTAAAATAGATTTTGGTCACTTACTTGAAACTTTCAGCCAAGTTCCAACATTTTTCAGTCAGGTCATCTGGACAGTTTCTTTTTTTACTCCAAAGTGGTTTTGGAGTAAGCTGTTGAGGGAAGAATCAGTTTTATTGTGCGTTTCCTTGACTGATGAAGCCTTCTGGCTTTCGAAGGAGAAACGTTTAAAAAAAAAAAAAAACTGTCCAGAAGATCCGACTGAAAAATGTTGGATTGTATACCTGGATTATTGCGTATGGACTTTGTCGTTGTCAGCCAAGTTCTTCTTGATTCCTGATTTTACCAAAGCCAGCCACTTTTTGCATAAACAAATCTTATTCCGAGTGGACAAGTTTTTCTCTGCAATAAGCACAAGTACAGGCATAGTATGATTAGCTATTAAGAAAAGTTGCCTCACCGCTATAAAGGGCGGCTGTGGCTGAGTGGTCAGGGAAGAATGTTTAATATCTGTAATGAAAGGGGACAGAGAGGGAAGGGTAGCTTTAACAAGAACAGTTGGAAGGGGATCTAATTGACAGGTTTCCATTTACATGCTACTACCTCTTGGTCAGGTTATTCATAAATTCAATGTCTTTGTTTCTATGCAGAGGATTTCCAGATTTGGCCATTAACCCATCAGACCTCTAATCTCAAACTTACCCTCTGTCCAGACCTCAAAATCTGGGTGTCTGACAGTTCTTTCACTCAGTGATAAAACTGAGGTGATTGTGTTTGGACCCAAGGTCAAAAAAGGGATTTTAGTAGTTAAGTCCCTTTCTGTTCTTTGTTTTAGCGGCACTCAATAAGGCAGACATTTAGGGGTGCCTTTGATTCTGATTTTTCTAAACATTTAAAAAACAAAAATTAGGAATATTGCCAAAATCAAAGCATCGATGTCAACCGATGCAGAAACTCTTATTCATGCCTCCGTCTGTCGTCTTATTGTAACTATTTTCTGGTCCGTCGAAAAGTTCTCTTAATCATGAAATACAAAAAAAACACTGCAGCTAGAGTTCTCAAGATCCCATAAACATCAGCACATGACTCCTATTCAGTCCTCATTGTATTGGCTCCATGTGGTTTTTAGAATTTACTTTAAAAATTTTGTTTGTAAATTCCCGAATGGTCTTGCGCCATCTTATCAGAGCTTCTTACTCCCTCCATCCCTTCTTGCAGTCTCAGATGCTTAAATCCGTTACCTTCCACGCCCAGAGCTCGACTGGTGACGGGAGGTAGGGCTTATGGTCAGGGCTCCAAATTTGTGGAATGCGCTTCCTTTAAATATACCTTTTGTTAAAAAAAAATATATATACACACTTAAGGCTTTTAATATATGCATTTCTTCGTATTTTTATTTTCCATTTCGTCTTATATTATGCATTTTAAATTACGGTAATTTGGTAGTTTTTGGTGTAATAAAGAGTTTTGATTGTGAAGCACTTCGTTTAAAAATGTGCTATAAAAAGTAGCATTATACAAATATTAGCAGAAGCACAAACTCCACCCATCACTGAATAACTTGTCAACCGGGCTGTAAAAGTGTGCAGCCACCAACAGGAGCTTATGACCCCGATTGTTAAAACACAAGCATTGCACAAAAACAAAATAAATAAATAAAGAATGTACAATGTTTTCTACGGTTTGGCTTTTTTTTTGTGCAATAAAGAAATATACCATCATCATTGTGGCTCTGGACACGTTTAATTTAGTCAAAGGGCAGAATTTTTATTAATTTTTTTATCGTACAGGCTGCAGATCCCTGGTCTAAACTGAACAAGGTACCTTTAAGCAGCAACTTCAAATCATTTCTGATGACGACTCAAAAGGAACAAATGCAGCAAAGTTATTTATGAATCTGATTTATTAAAGAACCACACACCACATACAGAAACATTTAAAAAAAATAATAAAATATGACCTGCCCTGCTGCCATCTGAATTGCACAGAAGAATTTCTATAAAAACAAGTTTTGCTTTTTGACTGCAGGCGACTTTAAAAAGTAGAAACTGTAACAAAACCGTTTACATGAACCAACAATGGAAAAATAAAAACGTTTCACCTAAATTCTCAAATACACACGTGACTTTCATAAAATCACTTTGAGCCCCGTGACTTGTAGTTTTAAGATAAAAACAGTAACGCGGTGCCTACCATCATCATACCCTTCAAAACACCGAGGTGAAATATTTAACACATTTCAAAGCTAAACGTTCAAGTTTGTGTCAGATTAATTCCTCCCACCAAGAAGAAAAAACAAAGACAAATTCAGATTATGGGATTAAAAATCTCAAAACGTGAGTGCATTGAAAAAAAAAAAAATCTAATCAAACCATGTAAGTGTAAACTGATAAGTATTGACCTGTAGATGTGCGTTGTTTTACAGTTCTGATGTTCTTTAAGAGTTCTTAACACTTGTCAAAGTTTTCAATCAAGTACAACTTTCTAATATTCTCTTGTCCAGCCATTTAGATTAAAACCCAGGATTAGAACATTTCCACCAAAAAACTAATAAAACCCCCATGCTGCAACAATCAAATTTAGCATTGTGTGTGTGTTGGATGATCAAAACCTAAAAATTTAAGTGAGGGTAAAATTGTAAAAAAAAATAATTTTACTGAAAAGATTTTTATGCAACAGTTTAAAAAATTAGCCTGCAGCCATCCAGATATTTGTATAACTAGTTTGTTGCCCACAGCCGTTGTTCCTTTGACTTTTTTTTAAGATTTCAAATGCAGTGTAGCATCCTGACCACCAGAGGGCGCCATTAGAACGTGACAAAGTTGGCAGGAAAAATTCCCACCCGCCCATCTGCCGTTCGTCCCTCCCACCAGTCGTATTGAGACTCCGTCTTTGTGATGACCGTGATCCGGTCACCCGGTTCAAAGCTCAGGTCACCCGCCTGCTGCCCTGTGAACGGATGAGTTGCCGTGACAACCAGCTGCCCAGTGGCCCCGCCCACAGAGCCTTCATCTAAAGACGAAAATAAATAAATAAATAAAACAAACACTTTAGAATAGATTTGAAGGTTTTAAAACAAGTACCCATTAGTAATATAGACCAATTTAATTTTAATGCGCTTATTCAGTTTTGTTTTGATAAATTGCTACAAAAACCGCTTTTAAAAGCAAATTTTGCTTTGCAGAACATAAGTTTCAAACATCTTCACATGTTGAAAATTTATATTATACGACTTAAATTGAATTTGCAATAAACAAATTTGTGTTTCAGTTTCAGACATTTAAGATGAAACTTTTGAGCCATTTCAAAGTCCTGATGAGAAATCAAACCAACTCGTTTATAACGCGTAAAAATAACGAGTAGCTAAACTGTTAGATGGGAGTCTGAACAGTCTTACCGTAACTCGGAGGGTTGCTGGAGTCAAACTGACCTGAGCACAAGAAAAATATCCAGTAAAAAAATGTAGAAATAATCTCATTAACCACCTTTTTCCAAATATGCTCCATAATTTAACATTTAAGTTATTAAACTAAAGCAGATTGCCGTTTTTTGGCGGGAAGAAAAAAAGTTGCACAAACGTTTTGTTTGTGGTAGAAATGTAGGAAGATTTAGCCAACAACAATTTATGGATCATTTCATTACGCAACAGAGTTAAAAATATAATTTTTTTTTTTTTTTTTTAATTGTGACCAATACCATGCTAAATAAATCTATAAAAATGCTAATCTTACATTCATACATTTTACTCTGTAAATGTATATTTAAACATTCATACTGTAGCTTGGAGGGTTGCTGGAGACACACCGATCTAGAAATGGGGGAAAAAATAATAAAAATAAAAAAAGTCAGTAAAATGATGCGGAGAACATAAATTTGTGACCAGTGTTTTCTCCATTACTTGACTAGTGAAAATACAAAGTCAACATTCGACAATAAGACAAAGTCAAAGCAGAACAGAAAGGTGAAACATTTTCGTTTAGCTCCGCCTTCTTTTACAAAAGTTAATACGCAACTACCCAGACACATTTGTCTAAATAAAGTGGCCAGCTGTGTTTTTATTCAGGGATACTTTAGATGTTTTAGGCAATAAATAAATTTTATTCATGTTATTGCTCTCCTCACATTTATCAGTTTGGTAAAATAATTTGTTTCAAAATTCAGTAGTCCCTCGGTACTTCGCGGTTTGACTTTCGCGTTTTTGCCCCATTGCGGGTTTTCAAAGTAAGATTGAACGAGAGTAAAAAATAAATAAATTGTACAGAACACTTGATTGTCAACTTTAATATTACTCACGTGATTGGGACAGTACTGACACTGTACAGTAAAGTTAATGAAATTTAATACTTTGGACAGGCGCCACCATCTTGTAGTTCTCTCAACAAGCTTACAATGTAGCCCCACTCATAAGGCCTACATTTCCCAGAAGCCAACAGTGCCCCGCCCAGAAGCCCCTTTGCTTTCTACTGAAATACTAGAGGGAAAATTCGGACAAAGTTCAGTCCTTCATTCAGCAACTTCTTCGCCCAGCGGATGCAGAGAGCTGAACAGAACCCACCGAGCAGAACCGGACCTCCAGACCCATTGGTGAGTCTTGAGCTTGTAGTTCCCATGAGGAACTTTGAGCGGGGACAAGCTGGCTAGTAAAATTCACATACACAGTACTATACGCCTGTTGTTAAAATGACATATGTTGGAGTTTAGAACATTGCAAGAGTGTGGGAAGAATACACAGACAGGCATTTTCACTTATTGGGGGGGTGGTGTCTGGAATGCAACCTCACAACAAACAAGGGACTAATGTACCTGTAGTCATTTTGGATTGTAGAGCTGTGAACACTAGACGGCGCTGCAGCCTAAATAAGAGTGATTTAACAGATTCTGAGTTTTCTGTTACTTCTGACATCAGATTTTTTCTGTAAACCTTCTTTAAATCTAATTTAATAATTGACCACATGAAAGACAGATTTGTCCCCACAGAGAAGTCCTTGAGTCAGTCTGTCCTCAGCCATGCACAGCAGCAGGATTATAAATGCATCGATCCCAGCTGCTCCATCAAGGTCACAGGCTGACAACAGATCCCATTAATTAAAAAAAAACAAAAAAAAAAACACAAAAACTAAACAATCATTTGTTTTTTCTTCTGTGAGAAACGGCTCTTCCATAATGTTCTGAGCTCCTGAACCCACAAACTTAATCTGATCAACAAAACAGCCTTAAAGAAAAACGGGAAGGAGAAGACAACTTACTTGAAGTTTCAGACTTGAAGGCAGAGACACTTGGGTAGAGATTCTTCTTTCCTGCTCACAGTCAAAAACATACACAGTAAGCAAACATAAAAAAAAACCCAAAAAACAAGTGAAAACACTTTCAGGTTTTTACCAGAACTTGCTGCAGGTTGCTGATAGCTGGACGGTGATCTCTGCTGGGATGGAGGTGGAGGTCTGGATGGAGCAGCTAAGGACTGCAGACAAACATTTAACACTAAAAATCAGATACAGCCACAAATGAGTTTTAATCTGGTCTCTCTTGGAAATGAGTGCCCAAGGCTCAATGGGATTACAATGCATAAAAAAAAAAACAGGCCTAAATTAGAAGCAGAAGAGACACATTCGATGAATTGGGTTTAAACAGAAATTACTACAAAATTTAGGAAATTCGCTAAAAGAAAAAAAAAAACAAAAAAAAAACTGAAATTAGCAGAAATTAGCTGAAAAAGCCAAAAGAAGCTCAAAAATACCAGAAGGAAGATAATAGAGTTGAAATGAGCCAAAAATGTGATATTAGCTGAAAAAGCTACATTTAGCACAAAAAACCACTAAATGGTTAAAAAGCTGAAAGGAGCATAAACTGAGATCAGTGGAAAGAAGTCAGACTGAAAGTAGCAGAAACAAAACAAAAAAAATAAAATTATCAATTTCTCCTGGGAATTGTGTCAAACAAGGAAAAAGCTTTGTCTATCGCACAATCGGTACAATGATAAAGCTTATTCAGATTCTGAAAACTGCTTAAATTTGCTTTAAAAAAAGTAGCTGAAGAGGTTGAACAAGTTTAACTTAAAATGCAGAACACATTTGTGGAAAGAAGCAGAAATGAGCACAGAAAAGTGTGCTAACTTCAGCTTTTTTCAGATAATTTCCAAAGAAATGGCTGAAAAGTAGCTAAAAAAGGCAGAAAGAAGCTAAAATTACAAGTGGAGAGAACAGTTTTGCTGAATTAGGCTGAAAAAAAGTTGAAGTGTAAATTTCATTCAACCTTTATCTAAAAAAAAAAAAAAAAAAAAAAAGTTTAAATTAGAATAAAAAGGAGCTATATAGTAGCTGAAATTAAAAACAAAAGCTCATACTTGCAGAAATAAGCCAGAAGGAGCATAAGCTGAAATTAGCAGAAAAGCAAAAAATGTTGCAGTTATGAAAAAGATTCTGAAAGGAGCTCATAACAGCTGAAATTAGCTGAAAGTAGCTCAAAAATATTTAAATTTGCACAAGGTAGCTGAAAGAAGCTGAAGCACAACAAAATGTGAAAGCAGTAAAGAGGTTGTTAACGCATCTAAAGAGTTGAAGGATGTAAGATTAACTCAGTTCATTTTCGGGGGGGGAGACTAAATATTTCAATACGCTAAAGTTGCACCAATGCAAAAAAAGTCACAGGATTGTTCTGAAAGAGCTGAACGTTTTGATTTAAGATTTGTTGAAATAGCTTAAACTGTCCGAAGAGAACTGCGCCGAAAAAACGTAAAGAAAAATGGATCACAATATTGTGAATGCTTCATAAATATTCACACTATCAATTTATTTTTACACCCATGCTTTTGATCTGTACCTTAGCACGCAGGTTCTTGTTGGTCCAGTCGGTGGTGTAGGCCTCAGTGTAGAGGTCCAGAATGTGGTAAAGGTCACAACAATCTCCAGGAGGCTCAACGTCACCCATCAAAATGGCCGACGCCCTGATATCTCTGCCATAGAACCTGCAAACAAAAACACTATGAAAACAGCACTAAGGCAGAAGAGACGGCCGTGCGTAGGTTTGTCCTTCTTCCTTACTTGCGGTTGGTTTCTTTGCGTTCGATCAGGTAGGACCCTTCCAGAGAAATCCCTGCAAACAAACCTCTGGACCTGCAGTAGGTGAAGACGGCGGCTGTGCTGCGCAGGGCGACGTCAGCCTCCAGGTTCCTGAAAATCAACGGGACACATCAACTTTAACAATTGACATTTCCTGTAAACTCTGGTGTCTCGACGATGTCGAAATAAAGATTGGACCACAACAAATAAATCTTAGCTCAGTATCTGTAAAACTTGAGTTGTACTCATTCATGTTGACAACGTCCATTACCGTATTTTTCGGACCATAAGGCGCATTAAGAGACAAAAAGTCAGATAAGTCGAATTTTATTCAACTCATTCACAATAACTCAACATTGTTCAGTTGTACAACATAACACAATACACTCATTACAAAATACACATTTGAGTACTGTGTACCACAAAAATCGGTTTAAGGTCAGTAAGCACAACCAGAATACATAAGGCACATCTGATGAGGCTCACTGTCGATTTGAGAAGCAAATTTTAAAAGTGCACCTTATGGTCTGAAAAATACAGCAGCTGCGGAAGCCATCTTGAATTAAAATGATTATGGTGGATTTACATTTAACATTTACTTTTGAGAGTTTCATTTAAAATAAAATGAAAGAGTTTAGTGATTCATGATATTTTGCTAACAGATAAATGAACACAGGCCATTACATCACCTGCCCTTGATAGAGGCAGGAAATAACCAGAGAAAACAAAAAAAAAAGGTCACAGGACGACATGAGAAAATTAAAATTTAAAGATGTCAAATTAACAAATTGTCATAACAACTTGACACAAAAAAAAAAAAAAAAAAAAAATAATAATTAAAAAAAAAAAAACCACCCACCAACAACAGTCTGAATAAATAAAAAAAGCTGAGCACCAAAAGATGACCTGAAAGAAGAGCAAAAACAAAACACTGTGGAAAAGAAAATTAAAACAAACAAAAAAAGGGACATTACATTTACAATATAAATAAAAATGAAGCTAAAATTGACTGCGGGGGAAAAGAAACAAAGAGGCAAATCATAGTGATCTAATTTTTTTTTTTTTAAAAGCAGTCGTTTTAATTTAAATATCCGTCTACACTCTCACCTGCTGGAAGACAAGAATTGAATCAGCTTTTATATTCTGCAGCTGATTTAAAGAAAATCTCCTGCTCGGGTTAAACAGGCCACGCCCACAAACACCTGCGCAACCTGTCGAGCCGTCCTGACAACACAGACATTCTACTGAGATGATCCCGAGTCGTGAATCACAGCTGACGTTTCTCACAAGCAGGCTGGTCAAGTTTAGGTCTCAACAAACGATCAAACGGCTCGTCAATTAAAATTTCAGGCACATTTACCTACAATTCACATCTAAAGTAAACTGAAGCTTTTCGGCTGCAGACAGACGAAGCAGGAACTCACCTGCCCATAGGTCCCACTGCGACGGTGCAGTTCCCCCCCAGCGTCAGGTTACCGCCCTTCGTGAACGCATCGATCGCCCTCCGCTGATTCAGGATGATGACCAGGTCCGACACCTGAATACAGCGGGATGCTTTCAAGGACCGTTTGAAAAATCATCCAAGTTTTATTTTTATTAAAGCTCGACTTACCTCCACCCCGATCTCGAAGCCTCCACCCAGACCAGCAATACCGATGGCTGAAGGGGCAGACCAACCTGAACACACCGCACACATTAAATCATCCCAACAGTGTTCTGGTTTAAAGAGATGCATGCCATTAGCTTTGATTACCCCAGTTAGACCTAGACTGTAAAAGATAGAACTATGAAGGCAGTAGATCATGATGTGAACTGTTCCTTTAACGAACACACTGAAGTGCAGCACTGGCTGAACACAACCCTGAACACTGGTACCTGGTGCCTACTAGCAACACTAGTTCATGAACATCAAACCTTGAAGGGGCAGAGGGAGTTCAGGTCACCCGTGTTTGTTTTCATGGCAATGCAACAAGTGCAAAAAGAACCAGAAAAGCCACTGTGTGTGTGTGTGTGTGTGTGTGTGTGGGTGGGGGGGATGATAGATACCACCACCAACTAACTTCTACGTAGACCTGTCATGATAAATTTTGCTGGGCGATTAATTGTCTCAGAAATTACTGCGATAAACGATAATCTTGTTTAAAAATTTGATCATTAGCAATTGTCAAATTTAAGAAGAAATGTTGGTTAATGTTTTGCATGTAGTCCCTTTTTTGACCACTGGATAGCAGTACAAGACTGAACCAAAGGATGGATAGTGAGGGAGCGAGCAGAGTGTCCAAGAAAATTGGGAGGGAGGCCTTTTGAAGTGACATGGGCTGTCTCTCCTGCCTTTAATTGGTTCTAAAAATGGCGGACACTGTGTGGTTTGACCTCTTTAGCATAGCATTTTTCACACAAAGCATTTACTAAAAATAAAAGTAAACAAGTTCTCAGCTTTTTTTTTGCAGAGGAAAAAGAACTTTACACGAAGGCACGGGTTTCAACCGTGAATTTTGGAGCTTCAACAAGACCGAGGTTACCTGAGCATATCTGCCAGGTTGATGCCGAAGGTTGAAATTATGATCCCATGATCTGTTGGCACTTGGACTATGTGTTGGTAATGACTCGCCACCACACCAAACTTTAGCTCAATATCTATAAAAACTGACTTGGGAGTCATTTTTATGATTGCTATGGTCGATTAGCAGCAACAGCCATCTTGTATCGCGTTCCAAAAGTCTAGTTGTGGATGATTAGGTGTTTCATTGAAATTTGTGTTCGTAAATAAAAACAAGGTTTTTGTTGACCATGCTATACCCACCTCAGCAGCTATCCCCACATTTATGATTTAATTTGCTAAAAACAAACAAACAAACAAAAAAAAAAACCTTTAGAAATGAAGTTAAGCAGATTTGGACCAGTTTTTCCAATGTGTATTAAATCCAAGAAACTTGTGGCACATGTTTTTGCATTGTGTTCAAAACTCCCGCACCAGGACTGCAAGCCTCTGACTCACAAGTTGACCATTACCACAAACGTCACAACATCTTTTAGAAACTCCCTCATAAATGCTGTTCAACCCCCTTCACGCTAGACAGACGACAAAATAACCAGACATGACCTCAAGGTTGAGATGGGGAAAACAAAAAAAAAAAACATGAAATCAAGTCAAACCATGGTGACTATATTGTGACAAAGATATTAAAAATAAACATGGGCAATAAATAAATAAATAAAAAAATAAATAAAAAAAAAGATCCTATAGCAAAATGTCATTGAAAAGAAGTGACCAGCCATGACAAAAATGTCAAGATGGCAAGACGCTGCAGTACGAGAGATCAGATAACCCAATGACAAATTGTGATGGGAAGAAACTGAGAAAACAGACAATGTGAAGTCCATATGATAAGACGCTTGAGCAAAATGACATTTAACGACGACAAGTCTTAATGTCAAGTTAATTATGAAAAGCAACAACAAAAAGCTGTGATGACAGGTAGACAAGAAAAGGCAAGCAAGCCAAAGAAAGATGATCAGACTAAAAAGAAACGAACAATACTTCCAATAAAATGACCAAATATGAAGAGGGAGTACTGGGAGAAATTAATATGAATGGCAAAAATCATATACAACTGCGGTTGCAAAGTGCAGAAAAATTTGGGTAAATTTCTGAAAACGTTACATGGGTATCAACTAGACATCAGGTACAATTTAAACAGTACGACATTCAAACATAACTTTTACTCAAACCAGGGCCTTACGTCGATCATGGAGTCTGGCAATGACGATGCCGCTCCCTCCTCTGGCCGTCACCATGAAGCCAGCCCTGATGACGGAGATAATGGCCAAACCCTCGGCCTTCGCTATGACATGAGCTACAACACGGAAAACACACTCAATGACTCCTCAACAACCATTTACAAAAAAGGTTACGAGTTCAGCTTTCGGTGTGATTCTTACGAGGGATGAGTTTGTCCGGTCCAGTCCTGTGGGTGATTTGAGTGAAGTCCCTCAGGATCTTGGCAGCCTTCTTGGCCTCAGCCTTCAGGTTGGATGGGAGCGGGTTACTCACTGCAAACAACATTTACAGCACTTAAGAAAAAAAAAAGTATTGTTTAAAGACGCTTCTGTTGGCCTGTCAGTCAAAAGGAGTCGGCACAGCGATCAACAAGCTCCTCGTTTCCATAACTGGATTTGATCTCGTCTCCAACTGTGGCAACAGAAACTTCCAGGAGTTCTTTTAACTTGCTTGTTTGTTTATTCTGATTTACAACGTAAACACTGGTTACGGCTACAGTTTGCATGCCATCTTTATCAGTAATGTTATCTTCTTGCTGCTGAAATGCAAATTTAAACTAATTTGTCACGTTACTTTCCAGAGAAAGGTGCCATCAGCCAAACTGTCACCAGACTTAAAGCAGATTGAAGCACCGATTCGGATTCCGGCAGATCCTGATCACCCCCTCCATGGCGAGTTCATGTTGCTTCCGTCTGGACGCAGGTATCTGCTGCCCAGATGTACAGGTCCTTCTCAAAAAATTAGCATATTGTGATAAAGGTCATTATTTTCCATAATGTAATGATAAAAATTAAACTTTCATATCAGATTCATTGCACACCAACTGAAATATTTCAGGTCTTGAATTGTTTTAATACTGATGATTATGGCATACAGCTCATGAAAACCCAAAATGTCTGTCCCAAAAAAAAAATTAGCATATCATGAAAAGGTTCTCTAAACAAGCTATTAACCTAACCATCTGAATCAACGACGTAACTCTAAACACCTGCAAAAGATTCTTGAGGCTTTTAAAAACTCCCAGCCTTGTTCATTACTCAAAATCGCAATCATGGGTAAGACTGCCGACCTGTATCAATGAGAGAAGCGGAACAAGAATCAATGTTAAAACGGGGACAGAATCAACTATAGATATAACAATAGTGTCGAATGATATTGCTGGTATCTGTGAGTGGTCAGTTGATAAAGAAAATACAGTAGGCAGTGATCATTATCCTATAACTATAAGGGTAGGAATAATAGGAAATAAATATAAAAATAGGAGGGGAAAGATTGAACTTTAATAAGGCAGATTGGAGTAAGTTTAGGTATTTAAGTGAAATGTATTTAAATAAGGTAGATTTTAATATGAATATAAATGAAGTAAATGAGAGTATATCAAAGATAATAATGGAAGCTGCAGAAAATTCTATAAAAAAAGTCAGGGAGTAATAATGATAAGAAAAAGGTGCCATGGTGGACTAGTGAGTGTAAAGATGCAATTAAATTAAGAAATAAAGCCTTGAAGGTATTAAAACGTAACCCAATTTATTTGAACTTAATTGAGTATAAAAGGAAGCAAGCACTAGTAAGGAGGATTATAAAGACAGCTAAGAGAGATTATTGGAGAAATTTTTGTAGTACAATAGGAAGAGATACAAAAATTGAGAAGATTTGGAAAATAATTAAAAAAATGAATGGAGTTAAAAGAGAATTTGATTATCCTGTATTAAAAGTTGAGAATGAGGATATAATTAGCCAATACCTCAGCTTTATCCTCATCCCTAAAGTATTTAGTAAGATATATAGTACAAATAATGTTAGCGAGGAGGGAAGAAAAGGAAGAGAATGTACTGTCCTTAAGTATAAAAATTTAATGGAGAGTGAGGAAGATACAAATAATTTTTTGAACGTGGAGTTTACCAAAGTGGAATTAAATAAAGTGCTTAAAAATACCAAAAACACGGCGCCAGGTAAAGATAAAATTTGGTATAGAATGATAAACCAACTAAGTGAGAAGTCAAAAATGATAATATTGACATTGTTTAATAAAATATGGGAGGAGGGGAAATTGCCAGAGTTATTGAAGGAATCTCTTATTGTACCAATAGCTAAACCAGGAAAAGATCATTCAAAACCAGAAAGTTATAGGCCAATAGCATTAACTTCAAATTTATGCAAGATAATGGAAAAAATGATTAATAGTAGATTAGTGTATTATTTGAATAAAAAGGGATATATCTCTAATTATCAAAGTGGTTTTCGGAAAGGTAGGAGTACTAATGACGCAATGTTATGCTTAGAGCATGAAGTAAGAAGAGCACAAGTAAACAAGGAAAGTGTAGTGGCAGTATTTTTTGATATTGAAAAAGCGTATGATATGATGTGGGTAGAGGGTTTATTAATTAAATTATACAAATTAGGGATACAAGGGAAAATATATGAATGGATTAAAGACTTTTTAACAAACAGAAAATTACAAGTAAGAATAGGGGAGGTAGTTTCAGATAAATATGTAGTGGAAAATGGCACACCGCAGGGGAGTATAATAAGTCCATTATTGTTTTCGATTATGATAAATGACATATTTGTAGATATTGGAAAGGACATGGGCTGTTCACTCTTTGCAGATGATGGAGCTATTTGGAAAAGAGGAAAGAATGTGGAGTTTATAGTTAAAAAAATGCAACAGGCTATTATTAATATAGAGTTGTGGGCAAGGCAATGGGGATTCAAATTCTCAGTGGACAAAACGAAGGTAATTATATTTTCAAAAAAACAAAAAACAAATAAGATAATAGAATTAAAATTATATAATCAAAAAATCGAACAGGTAAAGAGTATAAAATTCTTAGGTTTGTGGTTTGATGAAAAATTAAAGTGGAATATTCACATCCAAAAGATTGTCGATAAATGTAAGAGAAAGTTGAATATATTAAGTTGAATATATTAAGATGTTTGGTGGGTAATGATTGGGGAGCAGAGAGACAATCGTTACAGCAGATATATATGGGGATAATTAGATCTGACATTGATTATGGATGCTTAGTGTACAGTTCAGCAGCCAAAACTCATTTGGATAAATTAGACAGTATTCAACATCAAGCACTAAGATTATGTACTGGAGCATTCAAAACAACACCAACGGCAGCATTAGAAGTAGAAACGGGGGAAATGCCACTAGATTTAAGGAGGACTAAGTTAGGAATTAATTACTGGTTAAATTTGATGGGCAATAAGGAAGGACATCCAACTCAGGAAATTCTAAAACCATGTTGGGAAAAAGAAAAGAAAGAGATGAGAAGTTATGGATGGAAAATTGAAAAGGACTTAAAGGAACTAAAAGTGGACACTTTAGAAATTAGTCAATCAGATCCAATATCAGTTATACCACCCTGGATTCTACCAGAAACTATAGTAGATTTATCAATAATGGCAAAGAAACAGGAAAAATCACATGTAATAGATAGGTTTGCAGTGCAATTGCATTTAAATAGTTATTATGGACATGTTCAAATTTATACAGATGCATCAAAAATTGACGGAAGAATAGGAATAGCATTTACAATCCCAGAATTCAATGTGAATATAGGGAAGCGAGTCACGGATAGGCTATCAATTTATACAGGAGAATTGTTAGCAATACTTTTGGCATTACAATGGATAGAGGATGTAAAACCATTGCAAGCAATAATTTGCTCAGATTCAAGTTCAGCTTTGATAAGTATAAAATATAATAAACACAGATAGTAGGATGGATATCTTATTAGAAATATATCATACTCTGTTTAGAATACAAAATATGGGGTTAGTAGTGATATTTGTGTGGGTTCCAGCACATATAGGGTTAGTAGGAAATGAGAAGGCTGATAAAACGGCAAAGAAGGCAACACATAATCCTATTAGTTTCACAGTTAGGATGAGTAACTCTGAAGGGAAAAGTAAAGTCAAAGAAGAACTGAAGAAAATATGGCAGAGAAGGTGGGACGAAGGATTAACAGGAAGGTGGTTTTATAAAATTCAGAAGGCTGTGGGAAGGAAAAGAAGAAGAAGGAGAAGTAGGAAAGAATAATAACAAGGTTAAGGTTCGGTCATACAGGGCTTAATTATTCGCTTTTTAAAATACAGAAGCATAAAAATGGAAAATGTGAGTATTGTGAGAAGTTTGAAACAATAGAACATGTTATTTTAGAGTGTTGTAAATATGAAGAAGAGAGAACATGCATGTTGAAGGAGTGCGAAGGTAGTAAAGAAAAGTTTAATTTAATAGAATTTGTGAGGAGAGATCTGGGAAGTAGACATATTCAAATAATTATTCGGTATCTTAAAAAAACAAAGTTATTCCATAGAATCTGAGTAGAGAAAGATATACAACTATATGCAAGTTAGGTTATATAAGTAAGTGTGTATGTTTAATCAGGAATTAATGGAGGGATTAGGTAGAAAACGAAAGTATATAGACCATTTCGAACCACACTCCATACCGGTAAGTGGCGGTAATGCTACTTAAAGTTTTTTGCCAACCGCCAATAAAAACCAAGAAGAAGAAGAAGAAGAAGACTGCCGACCTGACTGCTGTCCAGAAGGCCATCATTGACACCCTCAAGCAAGAGGGTAAGACACAGAAAGAAATTGCTGAACGAATAGGCTGTTCCCAGAGTGCTGTATCAAGGCACCTCAGTGGGAAGTCTGTGGGAAGGGAAAAGTGTGGCAGAAAACGCTGCACAACGAGAAGAGGTGACCGGACCCTGAGGAGGATTGTGGAGAAGGGCCGATTCCAGACCTTGGGGGACCTGCGGAAGCAGTGGACTGAGTCTGGAGTAGAAACATCCAGAGCAACCGTGCACAGGCATGTGCAGGAAAAGGGCTACAGGTGCCACATTCCCCAGGTCAAGCCACTTTTGAACCAGAAACAGCGGCAGAAGCACCTGACCTGGGCTACAGAGAAGCAGCACTGGACTGTTGCTCAGTGGTCCAAAGTGCTTTTTTCGGATGAAAGCAAATTTTGCATGTCATTCGGAAATCAAGGTGCCAGAGTCTGGAGGAAGACTGGGGAGAAGGAAATGCCAAAATGCCAGAAGTCCAGTGTGAAGCACCCACAGTCAGTGATGGTCTGGGGTGCCATGTCCGCTGCTGGTGTTGGTCCACTGTGTTTTATCAAGCGCAGAGTCAATGCAGCTAGCTATCAGGAGATTTTGGAGCACTTCATGCTTCCATCTGCTGAAAAGCTTTACGGAGATGAAGATTTCATTTTTCAGCACGACCTGGCACCTGCTCACAGTGCCCAAACCACCGGTAAATGGTTTACTGACCATGGTATTACTGTGCTCAATTGGCCTGACAACTCTCCTGACCTGAACCCCATAGAGAACCTGTGGGATATTGTGAAGAGAAAGTTGAGAGACGCAAGACCCAACACTCTGGATGAGCTTAAGGCCGCTATCGAAGCATCCTGGGCCTCCATAACACCTCAGCAGTGCCACAGGCTGATTGCCTCCATGCCACGCCACATTGAAGCAGTCATTCATGCAAAAGGATTCCCGACCAAGTTTTGAGTGCATAACTGAACATGATTATTTGAAGGTTGGCGTTTTTTCTATTAAAAACACTTGTCTTTCATTGGTGGGATGAAATATGCTAATTTTTTGGGACAGGCATTTTGGGTTTTCATGAGCTGTATGCCATAATCATCAGTATTAAAACAAAGACCTGAAATATTTCAGTTGGTGTGCAATGAATCTGAAATATATGAAAGTTTCATTTTTATCATTACATTATGGAAAATAATGACCTTTATCACAATATGCTAATTTTTTGAGAAGGACCTGTAGGATGAACAGAGTAAAAAAAAAAAATACTCATTCACCCCTATAGCAATCGGGCTTCTCAACGAACAGCGATGATTTCTGTATTGTCATTTTAATGCCTCAATGTCTCGTCTAGTATGGATGTTTTGTGTGCTTACTAACTGTTGAACAAATTCTCACTTGGAGATAAAAGATTCTTGAACTTGAAGAATCATCAACATGGCAATGGTAAAACACAAAAATACAGCTGGACATTTGTATCAACTGGCCAAAATGAGAATGTATAAAGAAAACAAGAGAACTAAGAACAGATCCCTGAGGAACTCCACAGGTCAGAGAAAGTGCCACTGGGTCTTTGTTTGAAAAATAAGACTTAAACTGCTTAACTACAACAGAAATCCCATCATTGTAGCCGGTCAATAAGATCAGCCTGATCAATAATGTCAGGCAGCAAGCAGCTCAATTTAAAAAAAAAAAAAAAAAAAAAAAAAAAGGATTCTTGAGATTGTAATTTACATTTTATGTTCATATGACACATCAAGTTTTATTTTTTCTAGTTGCCGTTTGTCTACAATCTGAATTTTTTTAAATAAACCATTCAGTTATGACAAACTTATGTTGTGCATGTTCTAAGGCACAAAAATAAAAATATACATTTTTAAGAGTTTGTATTCAGATTCTTGATGTATATAGAGTTGTTCAAGTTGAAATGGTATTTGTGAGGACAATGTAGCAAACGGAGGACCCGGGACCAAAAAAAAAGAAAGGAAAAAAAAAAAAAAAAAAAAAAAAAAAAAAAGCTATGAATTTAGAGAAGTCCGGTCAAGATGAGAACGTGGGACGTTCCGCTCTGTACAAAGTTTTCTTCTCCGCACATCTAACTAGGACGGATTGTCTGAAAGACAATATATAGAACAACTATGGAGTCTTGATTCCATCCAGCCATCCATTATCTTTTACTCGCTTCTTCCTTTTCGGGTCATGGGGGTCACTGCTGGTGCCCATGTCCAGCCATCACTGTGAGAGAGGCAGGGTACAGCTGGACAGATCTCCAGTCCATTGCAGGGACATCGAGACAAACAAGCATTTCACTCTCACTCACATCTAGGGACAGTTTAGAGTTACCAATCAACCTAACATGCATGTTATTAGTATGTGGGAAGAAACCGCATTACCCGGAACAAACATGCGAACTCCACCCAGAAAGACCCCCCTGGCCGGGATTGGATCCAGCGACCTTCTCGCCGATAGCCGGCGGTACCAACTGCGCCACCTGTCTGACACCTTAACATGGCAATTTAATTTATTTGAGCTAGTTACTTCCTAAAAAAGGCTAAATGACAAATCTCAGGCCTCTGAGCCCAAACACAGATTACAGCTAACGAGAGGAAGAAGCGGTCAGAATCCACGGAGCATGTTTCATCATTTAATTCGTCGCTACAAAAGTCGTTTTAATGGTTACACCGAAGTTATACAATTATTAAAATATCAAAAACGTATTAAACGCAATTAAAATATTTAAGCATCTAGTGTCAATACATTTTTTAAAAGTATTAATATTTTTAAGTAGGCCACTTCTAAAAACACCATTTCCCTTCCTTGTTTATTATTTTGCACATCTGTTGCTGTGACTTGCGTCCGTCTTATGGCAAGCCATTTTAACATAAAAATCCATTACTCTATCTGTAGTTATATTCTAGATATCTAAAAATAGAATGACATTTTTAAGATATCTTGAATTAAGAAATTACGCATAGGACCCTTGGCTGCCATTTAGCTGTTCAAACAGTTGCCTGCAGAATTTTGGGTGGCTGCAATGGCGCGAGCAGTTCTGGATAAATTTGTCAGAAAATGCCACAATATAAATTTCATGTCGCGCACGAGCTGCCGCGCTCAAAATCCTGTTAACACGAGCGCTTGTGCTGGACTGACCTGACATTGCAGACCACTGACTAATGCTAAAATGCTTTTTGATTTTTCCCGCCAAAATGCTACGTAACTGACGTTTTGACTGGTCAAAATAATTATTCTAGAGATCTTCATCATTCTGACTAGTCAAAATTAATTCAAGATCTTAAATAGAAAAGCTGTCTACATTAAAAAAAAATATTCAAGATACTTTGAATTCATTTGGGGACATCTTAAAATGAATTTTGATTAGTCATAAAGTACAGTTCTAGATATCTCCAAGTTAATTTTGCCTAGTCGTTATTTGCCGTCAAGATATCTGCAATTTAATTTGCGTTAGTCAAATCCTTACGGGATATCTAAAAATACATTTAAGATATCTTGAACAATTATGTAATTTAAGATCTTTAATTGTCATTATGACTAGTCAGAACAAAAGGATATCTTGAGAGCAAATAATGAGTCAAAATTAACTTGAGATATCTAGAACTGTATTTTTGACTAGTCAAAAATTCATTTTAAGATATCTTGAATTGAAGTCTCCATTGAACTTAATGGTAAATCTGACGTCATTTATACTAGTCAGAATATAATTAGATATCTCAAATAAGTATTTTGACTAGTAAAAACCAATATGTCTAGTCATATAATCAATTTCAGATATGTGGAATGAAAGTGTGGTGAATCAGATTTTATGTTATTGCCACAGTCTTTCTGAAGGGACCCAAACCACAGTTTAGACACCAGCTGACTAAATTAACTTTATAGAAATAAAAAAGGCCGAACGGAACCTTTTGTTTTCATCCTGCTGGTGCAGTTGAGTCAATTAATCCCAGCAGGATCGACTGAAACCCGCAGGTGGAACACACGGAAACCGGAAGTAGACCATAAACAGCGGAGCAGAAAGAGTGGGACACACTTTAAGACGAGGCTTTTCTTCAACTTACTTTTTTTTTCTTAATCTTTCGTCCTATCTTCGGTGGTCATGTACCTGCTGACAGGTGAACTGCGAGGCGTCCTCTTCACTTCCACCTCACCTAACTGCGACAGCCGGAAATGGCGCAATGTAAAGTACGTCAGAGACGCAGTAAGTGGAAACACCTGTATAGGCGGAGGCGCTCATTAACACAGGTGCTGCCTGCTAATGGGACCGTGTTGCCATGGAGACAGCCGCCGCGCGCTGAAGCTTCCTCAAAACACGGTCCCACTGAAACAATCCGCCAAAACTGTTTTCATGTTTTGGTCATTTTTTTTTTTTTTTTTTTTTTTAAACTAACAGACTGACACACTTTTTTTTGTTGTTGTTGCTGTTTTAAAGTTTTTGAGCTGTGAATTTACCGTCAGGACGATGATGGAAGGGTTTAATCAGCGTGTGGCACTTTATTTAGTTTAAATTTATTTTCTGTTTAAAACGGAATTAAAACGCTGGCCATTCACACTTGTGATCCATTTCTCTTCCGTACGTTTTTCGGCATCTTTCTTGTTGCACAATTTTTGTGCTATTTCATCAAATCATAAATCAAAACATTCAGCTCGTTCAGAAGAAGAGTGCTATGACTTTGGTATTGGTGCAACTTTAGCTTTTTAAAATATTTAGCCTTTTCTGCCACTTTTTTTTTCCTGATAGGAAATGAACTGAGTTTGTTTTACATTTAGATCTGTTTACAATATTTTACTGCTGCTTTCATGTTTTGTTCTGGTTCAGCTTTCTTTCAGCTTCTTTGTGCAAATTTAACAATTTTTCAGCTACTTTCAGCTAAATCAGCTGTTTGTTCAGCTTTGTGCTCATTTCAGGTTATTTCTGCTAACTACAATGTGGCTCTAATTTTTGTTCTGTTAAAACCAGCTTTTTATGCTTCTTTCAGCTTTTTATGCTATTTTAGCTATTATTTAGTCATTGTTATGCTAATTTTAGCTTTTTCAGCTTATTCCACATCTTTTGCACTCATTTCAACTTTTTTCACCCAAATTCAACAAAAATGTGCTCTCTCCACTTCCTCTTGGTAACTTAAGCTGCTTTCAACTATTATAGCTACTTTCCAGCTGTTTTTTTGCTCATTTAAAGATATTTCAGATAATTTTCACTTTTTTGTGCTCATTTTGGCTAATTGGACAAATGTGTTCTTTCTGCTTTCTTCTGCCAATTTAAGCTTGTTTTATCCTTGCAGCTACCTTTTTAGCATTTTTAGCTAATTTCAGCTGTTTTCAGAAAAAAGGTTTTCTTGGTATTTTCTGCTACTTTCAGCAAATTAACGTATGTCTGTTAAATTCAGCTTGTTATGCACATTTCAGCTTTTTTCTGCCTTTTCAGCTACCATTTAGCTGTTTTATGCAAATTTGAGCCTTTTCAGCTAATTCCACATTCTTTAATATAATTTCAGCGCTTTCCACTCTTTTCTGATAAGGCATGCTTCTTTCTGCCTTTTCAGCTACTTTTCAGCTGTTTTTTGGTGCTAATTTCAGCTTTTTATTGCTGATTTCCTAATTTTGTGCTGATTTATGAAATTTTAAACCAAATTCACCTAATACTTGTTGCTTCTGCTTTCTTCTATTTTAGGCTTGTTTTTTCATTTAAACTACATTTCAGCATGTTTTTAGCTCATTTCAGCTGTTTCTCAGCAAGTTCGTCAGCAATAAGCATTCACACTGCATTTTCGCAGGAAATGCAATTTCTCTAGTTGCACATTACGTTCAGGTTTCAAACTGACCGCCAAAACAGCTGATCAGATGCACTTAGTAGCATTTAGCTCAGTCCACCACAAACTTTAAAAACACCACCCAACTTTAGTCTTCATGGTGAAGAATGTGGCCACCGATATGCTTCTGTTTTTATTTATTTTTGTTTGTTTAGTAATCTGGTTTACTGGGGGGAAAAAAAACTGGATTATTGCATCAAAAAGATAATGAGTGAAGCTGTTTGTAAGAAAACATTTTTCCAAATTAAAAACTTTTAAAGTTTCTGATTTTAGAATAGAAAAGTTGAGAGCTGGTTTTGAAGTCTTGTATTTTAGGACCTGAACCTGTTTCAGTGTGGCTCAGATGCCAAAATCAAACAAACAAACAAACAAACAACACTAAAATGCCCATTTCCCCGAATAAAATAAATGTTTTATAAATCACATGAAGAGTTTCAGTGATTTCACTTTTAGTCTAATATTAATCATCTAGTGTCTTGTTTTTGAGCTACTGCTGATTGGTGCATGCAAAAAATAAATAAATAAATAAATAAAGCTGAGGCCCCATGGGGCATTTTGACCTAATGATGGTGGGAGAGTTTACATTAGAATAGTAACCACCTTTTTAAAGCTTGTTTTTATTAGAATGGTAATTCCTGTATATTATTACACTGAAACATTAAATAGAAATATTTTCCTAAATAAAAAAAAACGAGTTGTGATTAAATATGACTGAGGCCTCAGAGGTCATCTTGACCCAAGTGCAGTAAGTGGGTTAAAGATGGCTACCTCACCCAAGTCCAAGTCAACATTAAAGGGCTACAACTTAGTCAGTTTTACAGATATTAAAAAATTGGTTCGAAAGTAGCGGAGTCATTCCCAACACAACTCAAGTGCTTAAAACTTTGGCCTTAAGTGTAAAGTCAACACCATCTGTTAGCAAAATATCTCTTCAACCACTCTAGGGATTTTAGTGAAACTCACATACCACTGCTCGTACATCTACAACTTACTGGCATTTGGCGTCAACCGAGTACAAGACGATGAACTCTGACCTACACAAAAACAGCTATAACTCAGTCAATTCTACAAATATTGAGCAAAGTATGGCGTGGCTGTCGATGACAATAGCATCGCCATGATACGCGTTGTGAGCGAACACATCTCACGAGTTTTCACAATATCGCATGAGTTTGTGTATAACATCATTTACAAGGTTCGACTAATATAGCAATGTAGGATAAAAGGTACAATAACAGTAAAGTAAAGTTATAGTATAATACAATTTCAAACCTTCATTGTTACCTATAATTTCATAAAATAAAACATCTACTCCGGTTTCCTCCCACAGACCAATAACATGCATGTTAGGCTGATTGGTAACTCTAAATTGTCCCTAGGTGTGAGTGAGAGAGTGAATGATTGCTTGTCTCATTTGTCTCTATGTGTCCCTGTGATGGATTGGAGACCTGTCCAGGGTGTCCCCCACATCTTGCACAGTGATTGCTGGACATGGGCACCGGCGACCCCCGTGACCCAAAATGGAATAAGCGGGTAAAGATAATGGATGGATGGATGGATATATTTCTATCAATCTTTCTATCACTCTCTCTCTCTATCACTCTATCACTATCTCTCTATCACTCTCTATCACTCTCTCTATCTCTCTTTATCACTCTCTCTATCACTCTCTATCTCTCTATCACTCTATCTCTCTTTCACTCTCTCTATCTCTCTTTCACTCTATCACTATCTCTCTATCACTCTCTATATATATCTCTATCATTATCACTCTATGTCTCTATCACTATCTCTCTATCACTATCTCTCTCTATCACTCTACCACTCTCTATCACTCTATCACTCTCTATCACTCTATCACTCTATCTCTCTTTCACTCTCTCTATCACTCTATCACTCTATCTCTCTTTCACTCTCTCTATATATATCTCTATCACTATCACTCTATCACTCTCTATCACTCTATCTCTCTTTCACTCTCTCTATCACTCTATCACTCTATCACTCTCTCTATATATATCTCTATCACTATCACTCTCTCTATCACTCTATCTCTCTCTCTATCACTCTATCACTCTCTCTCTTTATATATATATATATATATATATATATATATATATATATATATATATAAAGAGAGTATATATAAGGTGTTTTAAACCCTTCCCACACTCTTGCAATATTCTAAACAATGCTTCTAAACTCTAAACACTCTAAAAGAGCACAGCATGTCATGATTCTATCTCCCTGCCATGCTGCACTCAGCCACCTGCAAGCGCTCTTGGCCACGCCCACTTCTCAGCTCTGCAGCAGAAACAGCTGATCAGCTGCAGCAGGAAGCTTATTCATGCACCAAGAGCTGCACAAAGGTCAAAGGACGTTATTTCAGCTGCTCTGAGCTGTACAAAGATGCAGCAGGTGCTAAATAATTTAAAATAATTCATTTTAAATAAAAATAATTCCATGCCGATCGTGCGGCTCATCCATCAATCAGCCAATTGTGTGTCATGTCCACACTTATTTTGAAAAACCACGATAGAGCGAGTCCGCGATAAACGAACCACGACGTAGCGAGGGACTACTGTACAAAAGCTGTATTTTTTAAAGTGCTATGACATTTATTTTTTTAGATTTCAAAGGAGACGTCACCCCCAAATCTTACCTGTCTTTTATAAATGGCTACAAAATGTTATGCACTGAAAAGTACAACTACATCGACACATTAGCTGAGCGCATGAACGTCGGTAAGAACGTTAAAGTGGCATTCTGTGAAGACTTAACGATGATGTGATGAAAAGTTTCCAGAATCTTCTTGCGGAAAGGAATTTACTGATTTTCAGGATTGGACAAGCTGAAGGAAGCTGGCGAGTCTGTGACGCAGCTATGGAGAGAGCTGGTTGTTGCATCAACGCTGACAAGGTAAAAAAAAAATAACTGGTCGATGTCCTGGGACCTGCAGGAAGGGAGGGATGGGTGGACATTTTCTTAAATCACTATTTGGATAAAACGGTTCAAACAACACAGAGACACTTGTTGCATAGTTATGCAGCACAGACGCAGGTTTACCGATAAATATATAATTAAAACTATATGTTTTATGATGTAAACACATACACAGTTATATCTGTCCATGAAACCCAATGAATCCAATTAGCTACTTAAACTACAAGCACGTGCTAAAGACATATTGGTATCAGATGCTGTGCAGCTGGAAGGATTTTTACTGAAACTTTTTTAGTTTTGGACATTTGTTATGATGCGTAACCATGGCAACGAGGCGGTTTTCTACAACCAACAGCAGCTGATTAACATCTCAAAAGCTCAAATAATATCTCAACTACAACACCAAATCTCAA